TATATATATATTTATTTATTTATATATATATTTATTTATACATGCACGCAATTATTTTTACATGTATTGTAAGCATCCTTATCTGTTGCCATGGTAATTACCTCTTCCTTGCTGCACAGGCGCCTTGAGGCAGAACGGTTGAAGCGCGAGGAGGAGGAGAGGATGCTCTGGGAGGAGGAGCAGCATCGGCTGGCCGAGGAAGGTCGCAAGGCCGAGGAGGAGAGGCTGAGGAGGGCTATCGAGGCAGAGGAGAATCGCAAGGAGGAGGAGAGACTGCGTGAAGAGGAGGAGGCTCGACTGGTAGGTTATGGCATGGAGCGGGGAGTAAGAAGATTATTTACTATTTATTAAAACTGATTATTTATTAAAATAATTGTCTGTTTCGCATTTAAGAGCCGTAATAGTACTAAGCCGATGAAAGTGGTTGGGAGAAAGCCGATCGTAAAAAAAAATGCAGGAGAAGAAACCTGTGATCAGGAGAGATTTAAGAGTTCTACTTGCAAAAAAAATACAATGAGTAAAAAACAAAATGCGTTTCATGTAGAAGCTGGAGGCTGAGCAGAAGGCACAGGAGGAAAGGGAGAAGATGCAGCAGGAGATGGAGGAGCGGGCACGTCGTGAGGAGGACGAGAGGCAGCAGAGGAAGAAGGTGGGCTTTGTAGGGGATTCCTGCTGCTACTCGGCTAACAATACTGAAATTGGAATGTCCCAGTTGTGTGTGTGTGAGTGGGTGATTGTGTGTGTGCACATATGTGAGTGAGAGTGAGTGAGTGAGTGAGTGAGTGAGTGAGTGAGTGAGTGAGTGAGTGAGTGAGTGAGTGAGTGAGTGAGTGAGAGTGTGTGTCACTACGTGTGATGAGGTTCACATGAGTCTAAATGTAATGAAGCTAATGAAAATTTAAGCAGACTGTTCGAGGCATAATCTTGACAACAAACACGTTAGAGTAAGAGGGAACTGCTCACAGTTGTACATAGCTACAGCTGCAGATCCATGTGCTTGTGTCGTGTGGCAGCGGTGGATGTCTGACATATTGATTATGTGTTGTAGCGTCTGGAAGCCATCATGAGTAGGACCAGGAAAACTCCATCAACCACTCCCGTGAAGGTGAGCATTTTTTCAATCTGCCTTCCCAGGTCGTGTTACAGTAATTATCTTGTAAATTGGATCTCGCAGAGGTTTTATGGGCTATTGGTTGAAACCTAAGGGTATGGATGTGAAAGGGATGCAAGGCAACTGACCTATCTGCCTGGTATGATTGACAGGCAGTGCTTGTCAATAACTGTGTGAATGACTGTGTAACTACGTGTAAAACCTGGGTGAGCTTGAGCAACGTGGCATTAATATCCAAAGAAGAATGGTTGTCAGAGAAGAAGTCATGTCACCATGGCGGATATGCCAAATGATGTGCGAGGTGCTGAGAGAATCTGTGTGCTTTCGTAGAAAGATGAACAGGAGGAGGAGGCAGAGTCCGAGAAAGCAGAGGAGGAAAACAAGGAAGCAGAGAATGTGAACGTACAGCTTACGCTACAGCCTGTGAACACTGAGCCAGAGGCAGCAATCGAAATACCGGCCGTTGTTGCAACACAGCCGGAGGTAACGATACTTGAACTGCTGCATCACCTGTGCTTCTTTACGTGCCAACCTTCCAACTTAATTATCCTAGCCTATAATAATATAATATATATAATTATATAATTGTGTCATGGCCTACTGCTCACCTTTTCACTTTGACCTTTGTCAAACCTTTGTGGATTTCCCCGAGTTGCCTGAGGTTCTTACCAAAATTTTAGAAACTGCGCCCCGCAGGGAAACAGTTTAAAGATCAGTTATTATGCTTGCTAAAATCTAAATAGTCTTTTAACATCATTAGTCTAAAAGTACTGTCTTCTGAAAATGGCCCTGACCTAGACAAAATGAAGACCTATTGGGAATATTTCATTTGGGAGAATTTATCAATTTGCGTAAGGGTACAGATTAGCTGATAGTTAAGACATCGCAGTCATCGGATCACGTTTCCCACAGGACGTGATGGAACCGGCGCTAACACCGGAGCCAGCAGAGAGTCTAGGGGGCGCCACCAATGTCGAGCAGGACACCGCGTCGGATGCGGCGAGAAGCCCAGCCCTGCTGTCGCCGACGCCAACACCGGAGAGCGAAGACTCCGCGACGGAGGAGAGGACGACGGACAGCGCGTCGCCTGTAGAGGGCGTCGCTGACTCGGGCGTGTGGACCAAGTCGCAGGATATCATGATGATGTCCATGTACCAGGAGTCGGGCACCTTCGACATGACGCGTGAGTGACGACGATTCTGACAGGGGTTGCGTACTGTGGTGTATACCATGTATATATCCTGTGTTGGCGTGTCAAAGATGACTGTATTGTACATAAGTCGAGCATTCTGAATTCCTATCAGTCGATTCCTTTTAGCTCCATTACAAAACAGTGGTGATTTTTATGCAAGGTGATGTGTTTTCACAGAGAGCATGATGGATTCTGGCATTAGAGGTGGAATTCCGGAGGAGAACGGGCAAGACTACGAGAACGGCTCCGAAGACATCAGTGAAAAACACGAGTAGGTGGTTTTCCTGTAGCTGCGGGTACTGTTACCCAGTACCTGCCGTAGGAGCTCTGAATAATGTCATCTTAGTTCACTATTGAATAAACAGGCATTAAGCTATTGAATTCATTACATAATAACAACTTAAGTGAAACCTTATTGAAATCCAGGTTATATAAACCCACGATAAACTTTCAAAGTTGCTGTTTATTTTACCGTTTACATGTGCGACCCACGAACTTTAACCTGCACATGCAAACCAATGCTTTCTTTAGCAATAGAGTATATCTCCAATCCCTTTTTATCTCATCTGACGTAGTCAGTTGCAGCTTGTAGAATCGCATGGTCGTGCAACCGTCCGGCCGTCCGTCCGTTCATGCGTGCGTCAACAGTTGGGCACAAATCTTAACCGCCTGACGTACGGTGACGATATTCGGGACGTGGGGGGAGGGGGATCGTGAAAAGGACTCGGGGTGACCAATTTGGGGGTCAAAGGTCAAAGGTCAAGATATGTCAACGAGGGGGGAATATTTCCCCCTTAAAGGCATAATAGGCCCATTGATTATGCAAAGTTGACGAATGCTACAGTAACTGGCACCTTGTGTAGTTAATAGTACATTACCTTATAGCCAAACGCGTATTAGTTTGTCTAATATCACTGCTAATTACTAAGAAATGTCTAATTGAAATCGTAAATCTGGTAATCTGGCGCCAACGCTAAATTGGTTGCAATCAAAATGCCTCGATTCGCGTTAGGTGACGTTACATGTGCCTACAGGTGGGGTTGAGCAGAGAATTGTTTGTCCCGGATGCTTATAACGACTAATGAGCTAGTAGAATGTATCTCTGGTGTATTCTCGGTATTGGGCACAAGATAATAACCAGGGGTGCTAATGAAAGTACCCACATGTCTTTCAATTTTCTGGACACAGGTGTATTCGTTTTGACCAATATAGGTAAATACGCCTAGTGGCGTCTGCTTTCCATGTTTTAGTCTGTGGCAGTGGTTAGTCTGGGATCCCCCCATAGTGTTGGCCCCAACACAGCCTACTTCATTATCATGAGCGTCCGTGATTCCTACGTGGATTCCACTTTCATTACAATCAGAGTACTGTTACGTATACAGTTACGGTACTGTACTATCGCTAGCATCGCGTACGGGCCGAGCATGCTGTGCGAAAATGTCCGGTGCACTATTAAATCTGTATCACACCGTTTCGCCGTATGCAGTTTCGAAACTCGTAAACAAGTCAGTCAACTGATTCTTGGACTGCGGATTTCAATTAGACATTTCTTAGTAACCAGCAGTGATATTGGACAAACTAATACGCGTTTGGCTATAACGTAATGTACTTATTAACTACACACAGGTGCCAGTTACTTGTAGCATTCGTCAACATGCATAATAATGGGCCTATTATGCCTTTAACTTAAAGATAGAGGAAATACGAATTGCGGCACAAATCTGAACGGCGTCGACCTATGCTCTAATATAATCGGCTGTTATAGTGTGATGGCAGGAAAACCATCCACCAGTGCGAAATTGGAGGTCATAGGTCAAAGGGCAGGGGGGAAAGCGTCAGATATCAAATTTTCTGAGGACATGGCTAACGCGAGAAAGTGAAAAACTTTTTGTTTCAGCACTGACCTACCATTTTTATCACTTTAATGAAAGGACCATGAAATGTGCTTTCCACTGACGTGCGAAGAGTAACGTGTCTGATAATCTTTTGACCCTCAACGAGGAGGGTTAAACATGATTGTTGCACTGTTAACAAAGGACTCGAACTGCTTTTCTTATTATTAGAGGCCCATACTGTGTGGATGTGAGGCTACATTTGCAGTTCAATTGCCAAAGACAAAAGTGTTGTTGAACCAGGTTTACACTCCTTAAATCAATATTATATTCTAAAGCACCCTGAATGCTCGCGTGGCTACCGTCATCCGAAATGTAGGCACAAACCCGGGCGGGCAACCCATTACTCATGCATGGGGGTGAACTGCGCACTTTTCTAATAAAACATGCACACCTGCCAATGCAGACGTGTTTAATTTATTACTCACAGCTGAGCGAAATTGTCGCCTGCCTGAATATACTTGGATTTTAGCCTGTAATTTCAGCAACTCAATGGAATTAAGGCCCATCTTGATTATTGATTACACTTGCACGCCGCCATCTCGCAGCAACTATAAAGCCTAGTGGATACATTATGACACAAATATATAAGACAGTCGAGCAGGTATGAAGTTAGATGCATTGTTAGGGTTTAGTTTTAGTGTTAATACCTATGCTACATAGTTTTGATGATGACGTAGCGGTTAGCGATAGAAGAGGCCTTTCAACCTTTTGCCAGAAAACGAAGGCCAGTACAGGTATAGCAGCAGACCTCAGTTGAGCACTGTCGCTAATGCGGCACTACTGTTTTCAATACTCATTACCCATGTTAGAAATACCGCCAGGTTAACTATCACGCTCTAGGCATAACTAATACTATTATTATACTACAATTATGCCTCTACTCGAGCAAGGCTTTTGCTAACCCAAATTCTTAATCGAGCGTAGATATTGATTGCGTGTTGTACCGTGACGACGCTGCGTCTTTGTCTCGCACTATGCAACCATAAGAGAAGGACGTCACCGATGCGCTCCTTGCTGCCGGCGATCGACGGAAATTCGACGTCTTCTCCGCGTACCGCCTCGCGCCCCAGCGCCCTCTATTAACCCGTTTGAGCGACCTCGGATCGCCCAGCACACCAGTACAACCGTTCGCCGACAGTGGCGCCCCTCACGCACGCGAAAACCCGTTATGCCGACGACCTCGGTGGCGTGGTGACGTCCGGCGCCACTCAGAACCGTTCACTGGACGGTGGCAGCCCCACGCACGCGAAACCCATTCGGCGATGCGTGTCGGCGACTCGGCGTTGAAGAGCGCCCCGCGACAGCGACCGTGGCTGTCGAGCAGCTGCATGCTCACTGTCGTCGTGCGGACTACGGCCCGCGAAGGGCGCCACAGCAACGGGCAGACGGCGTTTCCCGCCACGATGATCCGCGTTCGAGGCGAGCAGCGTCATGCGCCGAGCGTGCAGGACGTCGTAGGGTGAGCACGCGCGGCTGCGCACTCGCTTCAGTCCCAGCGCGGGGTGGTGCTGCTGAGGTGCTGGTCGGTGGGAGAGAGTGCCGTAGTGCTACGGGGGGTGGGAGAGAGTGCTAGTGTACGGGGGTGGGGGGAGTAGTGCTAGATGTACGGGGGTGGGGAGAGAGTCTGCCTAGTGTCAACGGGGGTGGGGGAGAGTGCTAGTGTTACGGGCGGTTGGGAGAGAGTGCATAGGCGGTGGGAGATGCACCGGTGTTTTGGCGGGTGGGAGTGAGTGCTAGTGATACGGGGCTCGGGTGGGAGAGAGTTGCTAGTTACGGAGGCGTCGGCGAGAGAGCAGTTGCTACGTCGGCGGCGAGAGCGGGCGCAGTAGGGGCGGAGGGTGTAGTGTCCGGCAGCGCGGGGGGTGGAGATGGAGCTGCTAGTGTACGGTTGGGTGGAGAGAGTGTAGCGTGTACGGGGGGGGAGGAGGAGTGCTAGTGTACGGGGTGGGGGAGATGCTAGTGTACGGGGCGTGGAGACGAGTGTACGCCTTACCGGGTGCGGTGGGAGAGAGAGGCTACTAGTGTACGGGGGTGGAGGAGAGTGCTAAGGCACGGGGCGGGGGTGGCGGGAGAGTGCGTAGATGTACGGGGGTGGGATCGAGTTATGCTAAGCAGAACTGCCAACTGTTACAGTTATTGGCCCGTAATTTGTTACGAACCGCCGCAGTCAGAATTTACGGTGTTACGGACGGACCGGCGGAACAAATTACGCGACCAGCAAGAAATCTCTGAAATTTATATTTTTTAATGCAAAAAAAAGAAATAAACACAGTGCTAAAATCAACTATTATCAATGTACACATGACTACTGTGTCTGGTAATTGACTATAGCTCTTAAAACGTAGCGCGGTACGTCACCTAAAAATGTCGTAAAATTTGCCTGTGTTATGCGCCTCGTTCCTGTCTGGTTTATGGCGGCGAGCTCATTTTGAATGACGTCACGGATCCAGGAATAGTAGATCACCGCCACTTGAAGGCCTACTTTTTCAGCCAATCACCGTGAGAGGACCGACAAAAAGGTGTACGTGCACAAATGGCCATTTGTACGGAAAAATCCAATAAATTATTACTCGATTGATCATCAGCATGGGGTTGGCAGCGTCCAGTCGGGACTAAGGCGCGGGCCGAGGGTGTGAGCGAGAATGCGCAGGTGTACGGGGTGAGAAGAGAGTGCTAAGGCGCGGGCGGGGAGAGTGCTAACGGCACGGGTGAGGGGTGGGGGGAGAGTGCCTAAGGCGCGGGGCGGGGGTGGGGGAGAGTTGCTTACAGCGTCATGAGCGGGGCAAGTGGAGTCTGCTAGGGCCGGGGGGCGGCGGGGGATGTTGCTAGTGTACGGTGGGGCGGCTGGGACCGTGTGTAGTGTACGGCGGCCGTGCGGCGGCGGGAGTGTGCCTAGCTGTACGGGGGTGGAGAGTGTTGCTGTGTACGGGGGGGCCGGGAGTGTGCTAGTGTACGGGGTGGGGGTGGGGGAGAGTGCTAAGGTCAGGGGCTAGTGCTGTGAGGGAGAGTGCCTAGTGATAAGGGGCGGGGGGGAGAGTGCTAAGGCAACGGTCGGCACGGGGATGGTGGTGGGGGAGAGTGCTAAGGCACGGGGGCGGTATCAGAATGTATCTAGAAATTATGACCAAAATCATTTTTTCACATAAATTGCTTCCATAAACTTTATGGTTTTACAACCCTCAGTCGCGTGATACAGCAATCGCGTGCATCACTAGTATGCTAATAGCGGTATGGTCGTCGTGACGTGTGAACTGTTGCCCGTTTCAGATCTGTTGTGAAGCTAGGTCGTGCCACAGAGTCGGATAGCGTGTGATGCTTAATCGCCAACGAGTTCCTCATCGAATGAAGCCGCGTGAAGCCAGCGTATGTGTGTGCCATCGTATCTGCTACCGCCGCCACCGCTGCTGCTGTTGCCCCCATCGCTGCCTCACGGATGTGACGCGGCGACGAAATGGACGTGGCACTTTGTGAATATGTCCAGAATTAACTGTGTAACGTGGTTGCATATTTTCTGCTATATCTTATGTTTGTGTTTTCCATGGGAGAACTGTAATTAATTAATTGAATAGTTCATTTATTGACTGACTGAGATGCGGCAGACAGCCGGGGAAGGGGAGGTCGGTGACGGTGTGACCGTCTCGTCGCTCAGTCTTGCTCGCGTTAACGACGACGTTTATATCAGCATGCTGCTAATGCTTGTATGATGAAGCCATATATTCGGACACGATTTTCTGCCAATAGATTCGTGTCAGAGTGGGTATGTGCGTGCATGCGTGCGTGCGTGCGTATGTATGGGGTGTGTAGAGAAGGGGGTCAATCACCTTTGAACATGGTGTTGTCTCAGGGTGGGTTGAGGCTGTGGTTGAGGTAAATAGAAGTATTATCCCAGACACATCAATGCACGGGTGGCAAATCCAGCGTTAATAATGACTTTCATCTGTTGCTCAGCCGACAGAGATACATGCCCAATGTTGTCTCTGCTTGTTGCGTGTACACTGCACGTCAATCTCACGTGTCAGTGTCGTGACTAGAGGTGGGTCGGTTGAAGCTTTGCTCGCGCCAGTGAAGCCGTACGTTACCTCCCTGGCGAGTGCTGCTAGCACACGTCCAAGCCGCGTACTAATACGCAACACGCGTAGTGCCGACGTACTGAATACGTTCGCTGTCGGCTGAGCAAAAATATTCTCTGTCCCCCATCATCGCATTTTCGGAAATATGTTTTCCGCTTGGGCGTTATCTCGCCAACTAGGCATGACAGTCTCCTCGTGCATGTAGAGCTAGTTTATACAGCCGTTGCCGTGCTACAAAATAGCGATGATGGTAGTAACTACATGTGCTCTACCACTGCGTCGTTGCTTAGGAAATGAGGATAGCATTTCCGCGTGTCTTCATTGTGTGGGCGCAGCGCGCTAATGGTGCATTCCAGTTTTTAGAACCACCCCGAACTAATTATATAAACGGGCGAGCAACTAACCTCTCTGGGGCTCTGTAACGTAAAATGCAGCACAGAGCAAGCTGGGTGTAGGAGAAAGAGAGAGAGAGAGAGAGATAGAGAGAGAGAGAGAGAGAGGTGGCGTCTACGTGATGACGCGGTGCTGCCGTGTTTATGATGAGCCATCTGAATATAACCAGCTTACAGCTACGATAACAGACGCTTCACTGTTGTCTTTTCGTCTGCATGGTGCAGTTAGCAGAAATACCGGCTGCGTGACTCTCCAGCCGCTAACACAGGCTAGCAAGCACTCTTGGTGCGGAATGTGTGCAATACGTAGACCGGCAGTGATTATAGTTCACCTCTTTTTGACCTCTCGGGATCAAGAGGAGTACTCCTATGCGGTGTTCAATAGAGTTTCTTCAACGATACCTCACAGTGGCACCCTCTATCGGCGATGTGGGCTCAGATTATTATCTTTGTCATTGTTTTCGGCATGCTTCTACGGAATCCCAACATGTATCACTTATTGTCGTGGTGATATTGAGTCCATATGTGGACTTTCCCTGCCCTGTAAGGACAAAGTGTCCGCCCATCTCTCCCCTCTGTTCGCATGAGTCACTGTTGGTCAGGCAAAGACATCGTACTGGCTAGAGCATGTATAATACTGTATGTGATAGTTTTTTAATTGCTAGGTCTAATGTACCAGTATTCCTTATTTATTACGTAATATCTTGCGGAACAACGCGTACGCGAGTTTTTTCGTTTAATGCCGTTTTGTGGTCTTTTGACGGCTTGAGTGTGTGATGACGACGACGATGACGACGACGACGACGACAATGACAATGATGTCATATTTCTAGTTGCCCTGTAAGTTGTAGTTACTCATCGTTTGCTGACATTTTTTCTTTGTATACTGTTTGAAAATGCGGTTGCGGCCGTGTTCCGAAGGTGGACATTTATGTTGATGTATATAAAAGGAACGTTGTATTATTTATATACATACATGGAAGTGCACTTTATGTTTGATGGGGACTAGGATAAAGTGAGGTTATTGGCTGTGCTTATGTAATCTGTAGCAAGGCATTTACTTGTCCAGTAATCTATTCATGATATCGAGATGATGGAGGAATGTATTATTATTCATAGTTGAATGTGCATGCGTGCGTGCGAGTATGTAGGCGTGCGTGCGTGTGCAGTTCGTGAGTGCGTTCGAGTGTGTGGTGTGTGTGTGTGTGTGTGTGTGTGTGTGTGTTGTGGTGTGTGTCCCAGTGCGGTGCGCGCCGTGTGTGTGTGTGGTTGGTTGTACGTGTGCGTGCGTGCGTGCTTGCTGTAGCATGTTGAAGCAGCGTTTTCTAGAATCGGCCCATGGTGGCTTCTAAGGCTGTGCTCATTCGGTTTGTATTCCATATTCACGCTGCAAATCGTCTCTCGCAGCAGCTGTTCCTATAAGGGATTTACTAGTTCGTCATATTACGCATGTTGTGAGGTTAACTTAGGAATAAACGAGATATACAGAGATTTACGACCTTGCAGTAACTTGTAAATGAGCACCCAATGGCTCGTAACAGTGTATATACTCTCTGCGGTAGAGGTAATCAGTACATTACACGTATAAACTCGACGAGGGTCAATATCACGTTTAGCTTTCGTGTTTTTATGTTTGCTATGTGTGACCTAGCTGCATCCGTGTAACGATGCTCTTTGTTCGTGAACGAACACAGCTATAGCTACGTGTGACACCTTTGATTAGCTGTTGAGTTATCTTTCTCACCTGATCGTACTTGTCGTTGTCCGCGCAGCGTGCGTGCTACGTCGTTGCTAGCTCTAGAACTATAGCACTTCGCTCTGCCACAGGCCTGTGGCAGAGGGAAGGGCTATAGTTCTAGGGCTACGTCGTGGCGAGCCGTGCGTGCTTAGTTATTTGTGAGGGCTGTGTACTTGCTGCCTAGCTAAGCGTGCAGTTGTGTAATGGCGGTGTGTTTACATAGGGAACTCCCTGTGTGCGCGAATGTGGATATCGCGTGTGGAGGGGGAATGGAGGGGGGGGTGTCATTCCCAGTTACGCGGGTAATAAATATGCCATTTCCTAGTTCCCGGCCCAAACAAAACGCCAGATGCAGATCTTTCCTGCGTCTCGGTTGACTTCTTTTCCCAAATCACGGGAAATTATCAGGTATTTCCCCTGTTTTTTTTTATAATTGACGTGGTCTGGTGACTCCGGTCCCGCGTCCTGAAAATAACAGCTCCCCTCCGTGTAAGCTGTCTTCTAGCGTGTTATGCGCACGTTGCTTGGTGAGAGCAGAAGTGAAGCGCGATGCGTGGACAGCTGGTTGTGATCTACATACTACTGACGTGTCAAGGCGCATCTTTTGTAATTAGCCAGACATCTATTGCTAGTAAAACAACATTCAAGTAGCAAAAACAATACTTTGTTCACGACAGAGTAGCCGCACTTTGCACGCGCATATTGCGTATTGTGACGTCACACGTGATGGTGAATCGCGTCACGCAGCATGCGTAGCGGCTGGTCGTCGCAGTGGGTGGTGACGTCACGACATGTGTGTTGCCATCTCGGCGCGTCACTGTTGAGGCGGTCGTCTGGCTAATCCGGAAGTTGACCCGGTAGTTCATGTAGTGTTGCATTAGTTCGCTTGTGTCCGTTCCACGGTCCTTGCATGAAGCCAAAGATATTATCAGGAGTTAAATAATACTGCACACGATGATATGTAGCATTTTTTAACTGCTAGTATTACGGCATACCCTCAGGAAGGTAGCCAGTATACTCTGCTTTTTGGTTCGCACAGACTCCAGTGCGTGTTATGTGTGAGGGAAGCAGCAGGCAGCACAGTTGCGTAGCGTCTGTACACGCTAGTACGATTGCACGTGTCTATATTTGCAGCTTTGTAACTATCACCGCAAGGAGACAACGAGCGGCGACAACTAATGTTTAATAATATATTGGGTGTAATGTACTTACGGTACATGATGATGAGGAATATTATTATTAGCGGCGTCTGTGTGAACGACGACAGACAAACATTCTGCACGGCAGATTAGTTGGCCTTTGTGTATTGTCAAATAAATGCTATTTAATGTAAAATCCGCCGAATTTTATTCTTCTAGAATGCACCTACGTGTTATAAATGTTTAGAAAATCGTGTTGCTGGAGGTTTGTGACTGGTCAGAGTTCACCAACATGTTATAAACATATAAAAAAGGAGATTTATGTGGTTGGAATTAAGGATACATCCCGTCGGGAATCAAATGCATTGCTTGTGTGTGTGGCAGTGACATACCATGATCGATAGAGGCAGGTGGGGGATGACCCAAGGTGACGTCATATTGTTACAATAAGATGCCCACTACTGACCAGATTGAGGAGCAAGTCAGTGTGAACCAAGACTGTTCTGCTTCTCTGTATACAGACACGTACGCGATTTAAAATGAATTAATTTCACGTCATGGCTCCAATAATATATAAATTGCGTCGCAATATTAGAGCTGCTTTGAAGAGATGCCGGTATACCGCCATGATAATCTAGTCCGCCACAATACACCGTTATTGATTCATAGAGACCTAGCTTACACTACATAGCTCACAGCCTATTACAGCTACCTAATAAAAGCACGGTGTTCTGCTGGAAAGTAAGTGGCTGTATATACAACCGACCGGCCGGATGTTCCCATAAGAAGAACACGCAAGAATAAGGAAGAAGAAGAAGAGCAACAACAATAAAAAGAAGCAGGGGACGGAAAAAGAAGACTACGAAGATGACGCACGAGTGACGAATAGCACGGTATACATGCAGTGTTACCAACTTGAGTCGCGTTTGTAAGCATACACCATAGAACTAATATAGATAACCAGGTTATAGGTTATCTATATTATTTCTATGGCCTACACCAATCTCAGCAGCAAATAAATATTAGGGTGCGCCACTATGCACGCTCTGAATCTTGCGCTATAGCTGCATAAAATTTACGATATCAACTATAGGTTACGACGTGCTTGGTAATACCACATGTGCGCGCACCCTAAATCAAATCGATGTGCTATGTGTGTGTGCACATGTGCGTCTAACATTCACACCAAATCAAAGCTGTCGTTGGCGTCTTTCGTCGCAAAGGCGTGGGCCGCAGCCGCTACCTCCATCACCGGAAGTGCGCGTCACGTTTAATCAAAATGGCCGCCACGTCATAAACATGTGATCTTGATGTGATCAAGAGTGACTGATGCGAATAGCTCTCTCATCCGATCCGTTCGCTAAAGGTAGTGGCACACGAGCGTATTTTATCGCCCGATCGCGGCGAATTTTAAAATCGCTCGAAAAATTTGCCCGTGTGCCCTTTCACGTCGACGCCGATTTCGTACGCCCGTACGAATCGCCCGTATCAAAAATGTTAGATATTTTCGGCCGATTATTTACTTGCAAATTCGCTCGTGTGCCCGTGTCCGGCGTATTTTGTCGAGCGATCGATTTTTTTAAACCAATCGGACGTGTTGTTGATATCATGTGATCAGGAGTGTATAATAGGGATGCATCATGATCTCCTGATGTGATGCATCATGTGATCATGTGATTCCGTCGAGTGGCGTACGCGTACGCTCTCAAATTCGCTACGTGTGCCCCTTCATGATCGGGCGTATAAATTCGCTGGCGATATTAATCGTCGCGATCGGGCGAAAAAATACGCTCGTGTGCCCCCAGCTTAACGAGCTAACTGAATTCGATTTCACAATATCGTGCGGTATGAAATAAAACGGGGAAAAAATCAATTCAAAAACAACAATCCTTACTTATGCACACGCATAATCAGTATTTCATAACAGTATTTATGTACGTGCTTTGATCTGCAAAGGTATATCATCCTATACTTAAAAATGCCCGTTACTAAAAACTGAGACGCTTCGATTTTTAGTCTATAGGCATAGTCTCACTGGTACTGTCAGTGAGTAAACATGAATATTCCGATACGTCTGCATATGCTAATAACTATATACTATAAACTATATTTAATATATTAATGGCGTTGATCACTTGAAAATCATGAGAGTGCGCTTTCATATTGAGCCCCGCCGCAGGTTACATAAACAGACGACTGCTAGTGGGGCTAACTCGTCACACCTCGGTCGACTCTGTACCTCCTCTTGTACCTGACTCTGTACAATGAAGCTGAGTAGCGGATTCGTTTGAAGGCGGGTAATTGTACCAAGCTGGAAACAGCCATGCTGTGTGCTGAATTGCAAGACAATGTTCTGTAAGGCTGCAATCTTCCCCATGTGTGGGGGCGCCCGTGGCAGGCATTGTTATTCAAGTACATAAGGTGTTCTAGAAGAGAACTCGATATTTCAACTAGACGGTCGTAAACAGCCCGCATCAGAGCTCCAACATTATACTTGCATGTAGGATTTATGGTCTAAAACAAGACATGACACTGGCCCGTAAATCCGGCGCGTTTCCTCCTAAAGGGTTAACAACTGTTTTTGGGCCCTATATACGCGAAGCTCGTCTAGTCGTAAAAACATGGCACGATGCCGATATTGCCGTCTACATAACCGATTGTGCACTGCCTGAAAAACAGCTCGGGGATGATAATGCGGAAATTCGATGCCGGCTAAAGAAAGCTGTATAACACACGGCGTGGATGAACTGTGATTAGTGGCGTAACCCGAACGGCGATGCTGGCGTGATAGGAGACCATCGTATCAGAGCTCTCGAGGAAAAGAACTTGCTCCGTGGAAAGATTTTTGTGTGCGATTCCTTATTCCATCGTCTTCTTGAACTGACATGTGCGAAATGTTTTTTAGGGACGCGGGTCCCGGCCAAGACACGGGCAATAACACGCGATGGAATTTATGCGAAGGCTCAATTGAGATTGAGATTGGGCACATGGCTGTCAGCCATGATTGATTGTAGGAAAAGGGTAGGCTAGCAATACGGAGGACAGATTCGACTGTGCGCTGTACATGGCCGCAGTAAGATAGGGTATTTCGACTGCGCAGCAGCATGAAGGGGCTTGAACGAGGGGTGCTGATGGCTCGGGGCTACCGTCACGCCGTATGCTGGCCGTATATTTCACCGACTATATCGTGCAAAGAATATGGAACATTTCTTTCCGATTCAAACTTTGATAAGGTCATATAGCTTAGACGAACGCCAGGAGAAGGCGTATAGGAGGTAGGAGAAGGGTGGGTATCATCGGACGCCCACTAGAAGGGCTAGTATTTTGATAACATAAAATGGTTTATTATGCACGCATACTCACACATACATACACACACGCACACACGCACGCGCGTACATGTATAGATCCGAGCTTTTATTCACTCCTAACACGATGTGTACGCTGATATGAATAAAAGTTAATTTTGGTAGTTACACTGGTGTTTTGATCACAACCTGTAACGTTTTGTTTACAACGTAGTCAGTCGCTTAATAACGGTCGTTATAAATGGCCATGCTTGACAGCTAATTCAAGCTGTGGGTTTTGTGTAGAATTATGTATCACATTGTTTCATGCGTGATTCATTGTATTCAGAGATAGGGAATTGATTCATACTGAAATGGTTTGTTAAATGTAATTAAAATAGTAGAAACAATGTAAATGGTAACACTGTAATGTGGTGGAGTTAAACAATTTGTTACTTATTGTATCTGCTATTTCATAGAGCTAATAGATCCACTTAACGGAATTTCTTTCAGAGAATAAAATGTAAATCGATATTAATTTATATTTTATTCTCTATAAAAAATTCCGTTGAGTGGATCTGTTGGCTTTATTAGGTCCGCAACCTCTCTCAACTTTAAAATGTTTAAGTGCAATAGTACATGCGAATGTTTTATAGTCGGAACTTCCAAAAGGGTATGTAGCGTATCTCATGTGGTTCACTGACCTACGGTGTGTGTGCGTGCGTGCGTGCGTGCGTGCGTGCGTGCGTGCGTGCGTACGCGCGTGTCTGCATGCGTGAGCGTGCGCCTGTGCGTGTGTGTGCGTGTGTATGTGTACGTTATGATACTACGTGAATCGTGCTACCAACTTAGGATGGAGGTTATTGGTGTGAAATCTATCAAGTCTATTCCAACCAATCACAAGCGAAAAAGTACAAACCAAGGAAAATCATGAAACCTTACGCACGTTCTCACTGAAAATACTTTTACTTCAGATCTAGGTCCATAACAAACTTCAGTTCAACAAATCTTTGAAATATCATCAGGGATAACAAAAAATGGCAAGCAAACTAATTAATTTGAGTGTGAAAATACTACTTGGTAACAATGAATCCATCATTACCTATTTTGATTTTTTCGAATTTGGAAGTACCATAACAATGGTGTTGACAGAACATATATAATATATAATTGAAATCCAAAAAATCCAGTGTATACAAATCGCAGTCATACAATAATATCATCTGATAATATCCCTATCATGTAAAAGCACCAAATATTATTATTCATAATATTAGAAATAAAACCTGCCACCATGTTCTATCACTCTGTCAATGTGGAAACTTATTCATAACACACACAAAAACAAATATCGTCACCATTAGGTACCACACTCCCCCCAAACTAACAACAATCGACATTACTTAATAATTTTCTAAGTAGAAATATAGTGTGCTATGTATGTTCACCAGGTAAGGCATACATAAAACCCTGCACGACAGTGCAAACCACCACGGGCTATGTTGTTAGCAAATTTTACGAAACGTCTAACAGATCATTTCGTTCAGATTTCAGTCGATTTCAGATTTTTTACTCGCGCTTGCCCCACCTGTGGTAATTTACATCATCTGCTTATGTGATACACATACAAGTGGGGGCGTCTCTGCCAAACACCTTCATTGCGTACAAGCCAGGATCCATGGTTTCACACATCTCTGGTGACACGTCAGTCATACACCATATATCATATACCATCATACAGCACACCGAAGTATAGCTCTATCTGTGCAGCCCTTCGCTTCGCAACAGTTTGCCTTTCCGCACAAATAGAGAGCTAACCTATTAGACCTCGAACCACACCTATTATATCTGCCAAATAGGTGGCCGCGTAATCGTTGAATTTTCTGCATTATCCTTATACTATCTGAATTTCTTACTGTTAACCTACGCGCACGAATCTATGCGTAATAAACACATGCTCGTTCTATACGTAGGTATACAGAGCTGATTACCAGCTCAGCACATCGACACCAAAGTCTCTTGTACGTCTCGTGATTCTTGTACGTTACAACGCACGAGCCCACGCGACGTAGCTACACCCCTAGTGACGCTAGCGTAATCGACAAATGATTAGTGGAGGTAGTGAGACAGAGAAGCATATGACCAAGAGCTAATAATATTAGTACTATTATTATTTATACTAATTATAGGTATTATTAGCTCTTGATATGACTATATCAGGACATCTGCTGCGCGGATAACTAAAGTATAAGTAACCGCCAGTACCTCCCTACGCCAACGCTATTCGCTAGCAGTCACAGCACAGAATAATCACCTGCGTGTATAAGTCACAGTAATTCTTAAATGTCATTTTAATATTAGTTTTTAAGTTTATTATCGCCTGCCTGACTGCACTGCGATGCGCCACTGGCTACTCCCGCTCTTTTGTCTACTCTGAATTGCCTGATTACGACCAACCATTAATGCCACTGCTGTTAACTGGTCAGCATATTAACAACACAGACACATAATCTGTCAACACCTAGCCAGGATGTTAATACCAAGTAGGGGCAATTTTTCGATGAAATTACATGTGAATCCACAAGGTACGTTTCCTATGTTACAGTATATCGAAATTTCCCGCTACCTGCCCATTTCACAAGTATCTTTCTATGACACCTACTAGAAATATTTATTGAACGTATTGCTATTCGTGTGTACAATTAACCTTAATAACGACACCAGTCTACATCTAATATACATAACACAAGTTGACAGGAGAGAGGTTCTTACTCAATGCTCCCTAACAAAATTAGTCAAGAATGCTGGTGCACGAACACAAATAAATAAAACCAAATGTTGTGTTCAAATGCATATATAGTAATTGATACGACATTATAATCCTGCAAACCGGGTTACCAACCATGCCAATGTTGGCCGTGAGGCACATATTGACTCACTCAGGGAGAGAAATATTAACCACTTATTCTTGTAGTTACTTCCCTACATGGTGGAAAACCTGGGGAATGTAACCCGGCTTCACAAATCCCGAGTGCAATACGTCAGCACAACAATAATTAGAATTTTATCACATAAACTCAAAATTCCACGTGGACCCTTGCGTTTTTTCGCTACCCCACATTTTAGTCGACAGATAAGCTATTATTGCCTCATGTCTTGTTGCCGCCGCGTTTCAGTTAACAGGTATTCCTACGGCATGCAATTTGACCGATTTTTGCCAAAGCCAAGCTACGATAAGAAATTGTGTCACAACTCAACAGAAGTGACAATTATATTATAACCAATATCGCCAGCCAGCACATGGAATTTTTCACGTAGCTATAATAATTTATCCAATCGTTTAATGTGGTAATATATTGCACTCAGGAATGAGGAAACAGATTAGATTCAAGAGATTAAAAACTGTGGAGCCAAGAAACTGTGAAATTAAATGTTAAATACTTCACGGCAAACACTGACGCATGTCGTAACCCTGTATGCAAGGTTAAGATATCACATCTGAAGAGGTACCAGCCACTAGCTGCTACCTAGTCCTTTTTTACTACAACCATGAGATTCACGAAGCACACGCTATAACGTCAACGTTGCTTACCAGCGTCACTTTTGATCTATCTTCACAAAGATTCTTTAGTCCAATATTATTATTAAAAAAACAAATAATTATTAATAAAATCTACATTATGGCACTGAGATATGACAGACTAAAAACATTAGTCTGAAGGAAATAATAGGAGAGTGCTTACTGTCCAGTAATGGGGTGGCTGCACACCCCAGATGTGAGTTTAGAGGGCGCCGATGCATCCACACCTGCTTGGTTAGTCCTGTGCCTGAGCCAATCAAATGCAACCTGTGGGTCATGTGATGAGTGCAGGCAGGAGGGTTCAGTTGTTAGTCAAACCACAGCTGAAAGCTAGAGGGTTACAAACAAACAAGAAGAATGGTGTTAGTCGTATCTCCACAACCTGCTATTAAAGAACATGATGTGTCTACAATTATTGCACAAAAGCTCTGTTATTATAGAAATATTAACGTTTGGTTAAACAGGAAACGACGGGAGATCTGCTGGCAGTGTATACAGGTCTAACATGTCAGTACATTTACCAGTGATTAACAGGCACAGTAGCCGTGTGAAGCAACGTGCGCCTCGTCTAGCATATAACGCTATTACATGTAAGTAAGGTGAAGTTACGAGCATGACGGTTATTTTGATATCTGGAGGACAGAACAGCAGTGCATGTACTACATATAGCGCCGACGGGAGCTGCGGAGTACACTCGTGTGCATTATGGCGCACGAAAGGCATTATGTGCATTCAGAAAATCAGCAATCAAATATCACTCAATGGTCACTCAAGGGAAACCTCGAAAGTATCCTTTATACACAGGTGTATGTAATATAGAAGTTTTTCGCGGTGTAACTGCAATTCAAGGGAAGCGCCAAGAGCGCATGTTCTACAGAAGTACTCGCTACCAGACGTCTGACTGTATATTGCAGTACTAGCATGGCCGACTAGAGCTAGAATTAACCGCTAACGCAGATGCCTCGCGTTTATTTGATGAAATTTACGAGGCGTTTTAGCACCACAAATTTCAAACTGATCTGATGTAATCGTCAACAACGACTACGGCGAATAGTTCGTGGTTTCATAAGTGGCATCCCACCCACTTGACAACAACGACATCAAGCAATAAACTTCAAATATCCACAAACAAACGCCTACGATACATCCTGACCATATACATCCTGGCCATATACATACCGGGAACGGGTTAAATAACGTTGACCTACGGGAGAGTATACACACAGCAGGATCAGATTCGAACGCGAAAACGCTGGAAACTGGGTTTGATTCACTACAACACACTATTCGTAAACTGCCCACAAACACCACCGGACAAGACCTAAGCTGGAACCATGCCGCAATGAACTATCCCATCTTTAGCACTGCCCAACGCTGCCCAACTTACTGGTTCCAGACTCCTTTTTTATACAAGAATAAAATGAGAAACTGCACTGTCTGAAATAGGAGTGCATGCTCTGATTGATGGAAATCTTCATTATATACGTCAAAATTTTGTGGGGCCAGCAGTTTTAGCAGTGATTTTAGATCCCCTTTTACAAGTTACCCTGCCACAGCCTGACATATTACCTCAGCAACTCAAACCTCATTCATCTACCTTGGTGGCTTTATTAGGGGGACCTAACCACAATCTAACCCAGTAACAGCAACAAAATCACACCAGCCCACCGACAAATCGCCAGTCAACTCATCAGTGATAACCAAACTTGTTTGCTCTAATAGAAATATAGCTTTCTAATCTAAGTCAATAAACATTATTTGCTCCCTTTTGTAAATTAATTCTGTCAAAATTACAGCCTCCTCAATAGGAAGGCAATGACCGCGCGAATAGGCGGCAAGCTATTGTTTCCAGGAAGGATCCCAGTGCTGAGGATTATGACGTGAATCTTATATAACTACGTGTTGTCGCCCACAAATGATTTTGCAACGTGAGTGAACCGCTAAATTTGGTACAGAACTAACTATCATTCACATTTCAACACCACGGTTGTGTTTGCCGTGCAAGACTCGTACAAGCTACACCAGCCCAGAAAAACGTTCGTTTTTGCCGCTGCTTGTATTTGAAAAAAGGTCAACGCAAGACATACATAGGTACTATTGTAAGATCGTTTTCTCCTCTGAATATTTATGTTTGGACAATTCAGGAAGCAACGCACGCTTTGTATCCGCAAGAGATCTACTGTAAACGAGCCATAGGCACAAACATACTTCATATCTTATGTTCGCTTCATATCGGCGATTGTGTGCAGCCAAAATAACAATTAAAGCTCCTATAATTATAAACAGCACACTATCGTTGGTGTTCCGGTATAAACGCCCTGAAATACATCTGCAGGGTGGATGACCATGAACTTAATTCCCCTCCCATTGGGGTGACAAAGGAGAATGAAGAGGTTAGACTGAATTACAACAATATTACTCTCTAGATATCTCTGATGCGAAGTGCTGCTTAACGATGGATGCAGTCAGATGGGCAATGATTATATATATATAATATATAATTATTAATATATAATTATTTAACTATATAAACGTGATCGTTTCTATAATAATCAAATATACAAATAAATGAATAAGTAAATAAATAAATATATATATAAATAAATATATAAATAAATAAATATAAACAACAAACAGAATGATCAAATATAATAATATAAAGCAATAACAAATATAAATAAGTGAGATGAAAACAGTCTCAACAGTCTCGTATATAGTAGTAAATATACACATATAGCTTCAATGATGATTTGTTGGTAAAAAAGTCTTTTTAAAATAATTTATTAACATGCTTGGTTTATAAACAATTAGTATTGTAGAAAATTACACACCACTTGTCAAACGAATGGCCCACCATCATAAACAAGGGGCAATGCACAAAATAGCACGCTATTGCAAACAAGGGGGTGTGGTCGTAAACAAGGGGGTGAACCCATTAATACCACGTGCCGTCGTAAACAGGGAGCCGCGCAAGCCCGTGCGCGCGCGTAAACCCCAGGGGCTGCCTGTTAAAAGCGCACGAAAGCATGCCTGCAAGGTGCAGTTCGTACTTATGGATTCACATCACAAAAACCCGTCGCTGCCAACACATGCGGGCAGGCGCTGACGAGCTGATCTGGTTATAGCCGCGCAGGGAGCCTCGCGTGTGCGTAGGTAGGCAGACAGCCGCCTAACCCTTGTATGGTGTCATGCACCCTGGCAGAGCAACCGTGCCCGCAGCGCAACAGCCGGGTCTAAAACGGCGCGACCCCCTCAGATGAACGCCAGATAAAAAACGATGCGATCTACTTCCACTTTAATGATATATAAATCGATTTGACGCTGGTCTCATCTGGAGCGGGATTTACTCTAGCTCTAACACTATCGCCCCATGCTCCGCCATTACATGTGCCACGCAATGCGGAGCATGGGAGGCGATAGTTCTAGAGTTACTTCTACTCCACTCGTCCTATACGTGGTCAGCGAACCGCTGCTCGCAGTTTATGACTTCATGGTAGTTAGCACCACTTTCGCCCACAAAACCGATTAACAATGAAGTCGACAACAGCTTCGACGCGAGGAAAGAAGTCAGCGGGCGACATCGACGCACCGAGGAATGTTGTCACGACATTTAATATGAAACGGAGATATCACGCGGCGCAGCGGCCATCTTTGCATCGGCTTCTCGAATACCTGTTCCCTGTCGACGGAATGTTTTCGTAACGCTGTCAGCGTCAACGCAATCACCGACTGATCGTCAGAGACCTCATTAATATTCGCACAGGAAACGCAACACTAATTAGGTATAGGGAGACGATGACGGCGACTAAATCGCTCCACAACCGATCTACAGTTGGACCTACTGAACATACGCCAATGGATTCATGATCAGAGATGAATGTGCGGCGACGCGTCCATCGCATCCACGCCTTCGCGTCAGCATGCAGTGGTGAAAGAGCGAACGTAATTTTTAGAAAATTCGTATCAAATTAGAACAGTCATTAATATGGTGCGAGCAAACCAACAGTCACTGAACTGCAATGAGAGAAAAAGGCAACATACATGGTTCCTTAAGAATAATATCTCGCAGAGAAATCAATTAAATTTGCACGCTTTAAACGTTGCAATATAATGAACCTTCATACTGGTAGAAAGTAATGGATGTCTGGCCTTACAGAAACTTTCTTAAAAAAAGTGTCTAACACGGCCTAAACGCGTACACGCACACACAAACACATGTTCTCCCACTCCCTCTCGCTAAAGGTAGTAAGATATTACAATCTTCGTGTTACCCCATTATGCACACTTAATGTCTACCTATCTTCTAACACTGGACCTGGATCACAACAGCTCCTCTGTAGACTTTGCCACTGTATTAAACACGCACAGACGCACACACGCATTCTGTAGTAGACCTTGCAGACACACGCGTGCGCATACGTATCTACATGTTGTTGCCTTTCCTCGCCTCTGCCACACGCTCGCGGAAGAAGACGCATAGAAGGTATTAGCTGCAACTAACCTGGATCATTGCATGGAGACCTGCCTTGGGTACGGGTGGTCTCTCATGCCCGCTAGGTGGCGCCTCTGCTTCGCTATTGCACCTGCGTGAGAGCAACAGTTGTTAGTACAGTGAAAGCAAGGCGTGAACCAGGCATGATTGTGGTGGCGACAGACAGAAGCACTACTCAAGCCGTGGCGTATGTGGAGGGAGGAGTGTGTGCGGGGCTGCCAACACTTTCAAACAGACTGACAGTGGGACTTTCGCCCAATCGAATCATCGAATGCGGCCGACCGCCATTATCGAACGTCTCGAGGTGGCGTGTGAACAGTGTTAGAACAAAATTAGGCTTAAGAAAAAATAAATTGAATTGAAAAACTTAAAGAGGTCACCTGTACCTCGTCAGCACACCCATCGATACGTCATCGCATGGCAGAATCGCTAGATCAGATAAACTTTTCGAAAACTGTTCGTCTTGACATACGTAAACCTACCCCGGCAATTTGACACCCGCTGCTGGCTGCCGACTATGTGGTTAGTCACAGTGACACGGTCAAGAGGAGGAAACACAAGCGGTTGCGCCATAGGTAGCATTTTCAGTGTTAAAACTACTGGCGATGTAGTAGAGAATAATGACGGCGGATTTAAAACTACAAAAACACCTGAAACTGAACAGCTACTTACATGGTTTCTCAAAAACTCGCTAAGTAACTCAAGTTACTCAATTAACTACAGCTTACCAGCTGCAACCTACAATCAACATTCTATGTGATCTTTACGTCACAATTTCAGGGCTAGTGTCAATATCTTTAACATTTCGAATTTACGAGATGGTTTTTGCAAGTTTCCCCACGAGCATGTCAACGATGGTTTGCCAAAAATTGTCTGATATATACAGTATATATTGCTATATTATGAGATGAATCTCCCAGTATTGCTACACTTCAAAGTCGAATAAGCATTTAGGCGTATTATTCTGGCGTTTTTATTCCTAATTGCTGTTATTATTTTCACCTAAAAACATGCGCATGCTTAATCAACGCCCCCCTCCCCCCATACACGCCGGGAAACTAATACACTTCTCTAAATTTATCAAGCATAATTTCTTGTGGGATTTACATACGCATCGCACACCACTACTAGTTCCAAGAAATGGTCTTTGCTAGGGTTAGGAGACCACGTGCGTGTGCGTGTGCGTATGTTACGTGTGTGTGTGTGTGTGTGGGCGTGTGCGTGTGTATATATTGACGTTAGTCACACAGCCTGGTCGGGTTAACCACTACATCATCTCACATGTTACATCGAATGCGTCAAGATTTCTGCCATTGCATGTAATCACCTTTAGCTGCTTTCTGTTAATTTTCTGCGATGGCCCTCCTTTCCCTGTAGCGCCCCTCGTCATTGGTACTTTTACCAACAACTCCACTTCGAAACCTATTTTCAAGTAGCTCTCCTCCACATTTGCGCGTTTGAAAAATTCTCGTTCTCGTTATAACCGATCTAACCAAGCCGCTAATTTTTGCCTGCCGCCTCTCCCGACTGAGCTCCTAGCTAATTGTCAGCAGATGCCAGTGAATCTCGACTAATCAGGGCCGAAATGCAATTAGGAATTTTCGACATCAGCGTCGGAGCGGGGTGGCGTAGCCTGGCTTAGCCGACGAATTCGCGGCTGACAAGCGGAACGAGTGATGGCCGCGATCGCAGCATGCGCCGCGTATGCTGCCGCCGCACCGCGGAAAAAACGCCACCTAGTGGTGTCGACTTACACTCAAACGGGTTCACTGTTGCAGTCGGCTGCGCCACGCGTGAAAACGCACGCGGCACGCCCATCGCTTAATCGAATGTATGCTTGATGTGATGTTAGGCACGCCGATCGCAAACGTTAATTCGATAGATGTTCGGGCGCGCGATGAGAAGCGGGAAGAGCGAGGAACGGCTGGGTTCCCTCTCTCCCGCCAGCGCGAATGTGAATGCTCTCCTCATTACCCACCCCCTCATTATACCGCCATCTGGAGGAGGAGGCGAGGAAGAGGAGGAAGGGAAGAGGGGGGGGGAGGGGACGCTGACCGCTAATTTCTCATGTAGGGCAAGGCCGATCGATCTAGAAGAGGTACATTCTGGCGCTCCTCTATTTTCGGTAGCATTCAAATTGAGTGCAGATGCGGCAGCGGCGCGGCGTGCCTAACTCAAGCGGAGGCTGCATTAGATAGCTTGTCTACACGCGTGTGCGAGCGCTGCACACAAATTTTGTCAGCTGCGGACAGTTTCCCATCGTTAAATAACATATGCCGGTCACCACGGCCGTGTCAGCAGGAATGCGAACGTGGCGTAGGTTCCAGTGGCACTGACATGTTCCGCTGCAGCGTGATGATGAGTGGAGCTTCTCAACATGGCTGCTGGCATTTATCCTATCACGAATCTGCCAAGCTGCTGTCGCTGCTGCTGTTGCTGCTGTTGCTGCTGTTGTTGCTGCTGCTGTTGCTGCTGCTGTTGCTGCTGCTGCTGCTGCTGTTGCTGCTGCTGCTGCTGCTGTTGCTGCTGCTGCTGCTGTTGCTGTTGCTGTTGTTGTTGTTGTTGTTGTTGTTGTTGTTGTTGTTGTTGTTGTTGTTACTACTGCTGCTGCTATGATTAGTACTACTCTTGTCGTTCTAGCTTGCTACTGTTGCTCCTAAAACTATAGAACTAATGTAACATGTGTTTTGCACGTGTTACATGAAGTAGTCAGCGAGGCTATAGACTAGGGTTGTTTGGTGACCAGTTAGTCTGCGTAGACGCAGCGTCGCGCATATTGGGCGCATGTGTGTGGGGGCATATGTCGCGCGATACACTACTCATACTGCGACTACAACGTCTACTAGAATCTACCCGACATTCCCATGTGCTGTTGCTGCTGACTGACGCACTCGTGCAGTAAAATGCCACAGCAGTAAAAAAGCAACGGAATCAATGACATGATGTTAAACCAGCGAACGAAGAATTGGGGTGGCAGTTGGGTTGTGAAAAAGGCTTATCAACATTCTTTGGAAAAGATCTAGCAAATCCCCTACTAACAGATCCCTTACTGTATGTTACTGTAGGAAAATAGGTCAATCTTTGTATTCTGGCACAACAACTAAATGATCTAGGACCTTGGCCTCAAATATTTAAAAAAGGAAAATACAATAAATGTAATGAGTGCATGGAAGCCATGTAACGATAATGTAAATGTATGTGGATACAGGCAAAAACCGATCATTAGTATTAATACCTTTTAGGGCTGAGGAAGGTAATGGTGCTTAATTCCCAAAAAATACCCATTAATTCGTGTCTAACTTGTTATTAGCGCTAATTAATATACATTACTGGAGTTTAACCTAAATATGGCTCATTGTCATGCAGTCAGTACACAGCAGACTACAGAAAGATTTCTTCCGACTAGAATACTCTAGCAAAGAATACGAGCATGATGGAAATGCTTTCTGTGCATTCTTGCACGATTACGATTCTATAAGTAGCCAGCGGCAGAATCATCGTTCAGAAATTTTAAATGGAAACTTGACAGTAGGAAAACAACATTATCTATTCTACAATCATCTATTTGCTGATCAGGAATCTGGATACATGTGCAGCTAAGAGCATGAGTGCAGCGCTCCGAGTTGTCAGAAATAATCGGGCAATCTATAGTAATGACAGTATTAATTGTATAACAGGTGAAAGACGGTCAGTATTGGAAAGCATGTAAATGAAGCACTGGAAAACATGTTGACAGCATTTTATAACATAGTAAAGAATAAATTGTATAACAGGTAGAGACATCTTTTTGTACCAGGGAAGACACAGTAGTGTGCAGTGTGCGTGCGCAGTGTGCGTGCACGTGCGTGCGCTTGTGCGTGTGCGCGTGTTGAGTATGTCACTCTATCACGTCTACAAGACACTCACACTATCAATATTCATCGCACGAGCAACCGATGAGTGCTTACATGAATAGCACCGCCCGTCATTAAACAACGAACCACGCCCACAGCTAAACAGGTGGAGAACTATGCGTATATATAGTGCCAGGTGCTGCCGCATCACAAGGTAAGCACCGTGTTATAAAGCTGGGGAGCTGAGAAGCAGTCATTCTTCCACACACACACGCACGCACGCACGCACGCACGCACGCACGCACGCACACGCACACGCACACGCACACGCACACACACGCACACGCACACATAGAGACTCTGCTGCATTGCCGAGAGCCGCCGGCGCTCATAATATTTTGCTGAAAGTCTCGACTAACACGGTCATTAGCGTGAGCTAGGCCAATATATAACATTGTTAAATGCTGACATGACACTTGATTACGTAAACATGGACTTCTCTTTCCAACTTGATGGACACACTTAATCACACTCGTATTGAAATAGAAAAAAAAACACTGCTTAAAATTATTCACCTCGAGTTTCAGGAACTCATCTATCGTGTTAAGCGTGACCTGACTGTACTCTCAATACTTCCCCATACTAGCTGATGAGATAGCAAACCACACGATACACCAGTGATGATGTGAAATTGAAATTCAAAACAAGTCTGGCAACAGAACTGCAGGCATGACAGATCGGCGGATAAACGCCGCTTCAAGACTGTCCGTCCTTGCACCTACCTAGAGTGACAGCGTTCTGGTCGAGCGTGTGGTAGCCCTCAAGCAGGTTGGTGGGGGTCTGCGTCAGGTAGGGGTGGTAGTCAAACGGGTAGACAAACTGCGGCAAGCCGGTCGACGTGTCGACGGGAGAGATGAGCGGAGGCGGCATCCCCGACATGCCGCCGTGAGCAATCAGATGAGTACCGGCTGCGGCGCCACCTGGCGTCAGCTGGGGACGAGGCTGCAGGATTAGTGGCGCCCCCACTTGGCCGGACGAGCGCATCTGTTGAGATTGCATGGCGACGTTGTGTGGCGACATCAGCCTCGGCGTTTCTGTTACAAGCGAAGAAATCACGTGTTTAATCGCATGCCTGGATGAGCATGATTAAAATCAAAATTATCCAGTTTTAACAGATGGACATCTGTTATGATGTACTACTGATATTATTAGTTAGTACATTGTGAAAACGAATAAACAAATTCAGGCGTGGGCTCTTCATTTAATTTCGAATCCTATTAAAACCCACAACAAATGATCACTCAATGATGACTGATAACACTGGAATGAAGTGAAGCTTATGTGTCTATGACACACAATTGACGATCACATCAAGGGTAACTGGACATGCAAATGCATTATTAACTCAGTGTTCACAGAGCAGATGAATGAATCTGTTAAAAGATAGTTATCACTGTACTGCTGGCGCTTACACCCTAGCTTATACATCGTAGTGAAAATATTAAATCAAATGTTAGCAACAGTTTGTAGTATGCTGGGATCTAGGAAAATCCGCTTCCTGAAGATTTCTCTCTTTTCTCCTGTTGAAATGATAACTGTGGTATTTTTCGAATGTTTCTGACAGCTATTAGTCAGCCAAGATGTCATTAGCTAACTAATCTCAATATCTGATATTATGAAAGTCCTGCTTATGGACTAAAGCTATATACAGCTGGAATATAATACAGATAAACGGCTATATGTTACATAACATGTGCTTAGAGTACAGTCAAGCAAAAAACAATGAAAAGGTTTCCCAACCATAATAAAATAGCTTAATCACTGCGCAATGTGGCATATAACCTCATCCGCTCGTATAGCAGATGAGAGACACCTGGCATTAATCCTAGGCTACATGGCTACATGTATATACCTAGAGTATTAAATGCACCGCCTTAAAGGCACTCACTACGAAGTCAATGACATAAATACATGAAATAAAAATATCCGGACCAGCTTTACCTTTTTTTTCAATTTTGGTAATAATTTTTGTGAAACTGTAACCGTATGCATCCAATAGAGATACGGACTTTATTAACCGCAACCATCACAGCAAACGCCATGACCATGTCACATAAATTCAAATCTGGGTTTCATTTCCTTTACCATGGGCATATAGACATTACCCACGCATGGTATAACAGCTTCGCTCACAGAGATACTGAATCACATGGATGCCACTGACGCTAGTCATGCAGCCATTACAAATAGCACGTGAATATCTGACATGGCGACCACAGCTAGCCTCCCACCACTCAGTAAATTTAATATGGACTGTCATCATGGATTGCTCTTTATTGTTGTTGCTGCTGCTGCTGCTGCTGCTGCTGCTGCTGCTGCTGCATGTGTTCTTGTGATTTGATTGTTTGTTTTTCGCTTCTGGGCAGCACGCCTTCGCAAGCACACTTGGGTGTTTGAGAGACGAGGAAGACGCACGCGTGCGTGGCTCACCCATCAGGTAGGTTCCACCAAGGAGATGGCTGGCGTCGGACGGGCCGAACTCTCGCGGCTGCATCTGCTGCATGCCAGCGAGCTGCTGCATCTGTGAGTGCTGCCGCTTGAGGCTGTTCTCGTCGCGGTAGGTGCCGTTCAGCATAGCCAGCTCGATCAGCTGGCTCTTCTTGAGGTCGTCCTCACCATCAGCCTACAGAGAAAAACACGCGCATGAACGACGAGTATGGTTATTGGCCGTCGTATTCAGAAATACTCATTTTACTGCAGTTGGAATAATTTAACCGTGGTAAAATTATTGGCCCTTTGCCCAATCAGAGCTGGTGTTACACAGAATTCAACCGCAGACAAAATATTTCAACCACGGTTAAATTATTGGCTTTTGATGCAATCAGAGACCTTGTTACACATGATTTAACTGCGGTAAAAATAATTCAACCTTGGTAAAAATAATTATTTCTGAGTACGATGGCCAACCAAAAACGAGTGTCAAACAGCTCCAGCTTGTCTGCATGCTCTGCTACGCTACTGCTGCGATTGCGTAAGACGCAGGATCCACATCAATGTATATACATGATGTAATGGACCGGGAGGCGAGACTAATTACTAGAAAAAGCACCAGCCTGCAGCTTGCAAACTGCATAAAGTTTTTGTGCGATTTTCTATGTTTTAAACTGGCCCATTTTCGTCCGCAGATATATTTGTTAGACTTCGAAGGCATTTAACGACTGCATGACTTAAAAAAGGTTGGTTATTCTATTAATAATGTCGGCCGTATACAAAAAATGAGTTTGCCACCATTGACACATGCATGCAAGGCACTTTTTAAACACATGTGCTGGTGACTATAAACACTCACTCCATTACTGGTTAAGCCACCTTCACCTGATGATATTAAATAGGTCATTTAAAAAGAACAAATAAATGTGCCACCTATAAATGCGAGTTCATTTTCTAAGTGTCCTTCACTGTAGATGTTTACACGGTCAATTTAAGGTGAACAGCCATTGTATCTTCTATAGTATCATCACATTCTCACATTCTCAGAATCCATATTAGTTCTGCAACAATGGCGTCCCGATCTGTGCCTGCCAGGGTAGCCATCTTTGGAAGTAAGCCAGGAATTCGCTTAATTACCAACTGATAAGATATAGACGTCGTTATACTGTCACCAAGAGTAGATAATGTAACATATGTTATATTATCTACTCTTGCTGTCACGCATTCAAAATATAAACGTTTTATTACGGCGCTGCATGGACATCACGATGCAAGGCATATACCGGTGACCATTACATAAAAAATCACAACAGCGTTCGTTGTAATTAACTGCTATTTCAAGATGCTTCTCACTCTCTCAATTATGAAGAATGATTTTAGTTTTCACTGGCTTTTCAAGAAAGCACGCCAATGTGCGACAATATGCAGTGAGCCGCACTTCTGCCGCTGCCGCTGACAGACAGGACCATTTAACGAGAACAAAAATCGCAAGAAGCGGCCCGCAAAGTCTTTTCAGACGACTGCGTGCTAGCTATACAGCCCCGGGGCTGAGTCGCGGGATGCTCACGTGAAAGGATGAGCAGAAACTCATTTCACGCTACGCGGCGCGGCCAGTATTTTGTACGCGACCCACATAGCTGATTTTCTTGCTGCAGTGCACCGAGAAGGTCGCGGCGAAGGAAGGCCGGAGTAAGATGCGCGCGCCCGCCGCCCGGGGTGTTTGCTACCAGCGCGCGGACGTCTGGGTGGATTTCCGCGATGCATTACGGTCAAACGCGTCGCGCGCATTTAAGCACGAGAATCCGCAAGCTCCTTGTCTGTTTTGCATGTTTAATTTTTGCAAATATTAGCACGTAAACATGTGTGAAGAAAGTATGCTGACAGATATACACGCGTAAGCGTAATGCAATGGAAAAGGGGCCGACCATAACACAGTGAGGACCGATTAGTACAGCCTTCTCAGTAGGAGGAGAGAATTGTACCATGCTTCTTCTAGGATATGATCAGATATGATGTAGTACGGGTACATTTTCCTATACTTCACATAAATGTAACACAATAAAACTCGCAGACTTGGCACCCAATTTTCAGCCTGCCGTGCAGTTAGCATGCGATCGTAAATCAATTGTATTTCAAAATTTTTAGATAAGGCACGAGTTCCTGCAATCGACTTGCTTTACCTGAACCCAAATGACCCGGATGACCCAAATGAATCGGATTCAAAAGAGACCCTTTTCCCTGGGTCACAGGTCTCCCAGACCAACTAACAGCCTAACAGACACCCACCTCAACGCACACGCACGCACATATTTTTAACATGACTGCACACATTATAAGCTGGTATATATGGTAATGACAACATGGAGTCAGGATGCAGAGAGATAATACCAATGGAACAGCACAGAGCAACGCGGCAAAGAGACCAGTACGTCAGAGGAAAGCATGGGATAATGGTACAGAGCGCGCACGTGGGTGTAGAGTGTACGGCAGGTAGTGCGTGAGAGAGGCGTGATATACTTACAGAGGGCACGAGCAGCTTCTTGATGCACACCATTGCTCTCTGCAGTTTGATCTTTGAGCGTTCTTCGGTGTCCTCGCATGTGATGAGAACGTGAAGATCCTCACTGAGGTGCTCCCAGTTCGCCTTGCCCCTATTCGCTTCCTCCTACAGGTAGACAGACAGAGAGAGGGAGTTGAAAGGGAGACATGCAGCCATTAATCATGCAGACTGCGAAAAACAGCCAATACATCTTGATACATCTCACGGGCTGTTGAAACTGCCTTGTCGTCTCGTGTCTTGACACCCCCGACACACACTTGAGACAGTGATACGCCTTGATACATCACACGTACATGCTATATAACGCTCCTTACATCCTACCTCACTTTACTTAACTTGGAACATCCAATACATCATGATCCATCACCACTGCACATTGTTATGCACATATTAAGCAAATGAAAGGAAACTACGTTTCATTACATGCACGCACACTTGAAATTGCCACTACATTCCGATACATTCCACACAATATTTGAACGGCTGATATATCATATTACATCCAACGCACGTGCATCTCGTTACATTCTACACACCCTTAGAACGGCCGCCAGCCACTACATTTTATTATATTCTACACAATATTAGAACAGCCAATACATCCTGGTACATCAAGCAACTGCTACATATCGCATCTGATGCATCCCGATGAACTCACTCCCGCCCCACGCTAAATGCACATAAGCGTCTGCCTCAGACCGATTAATGATAATTCTATTATTACACGTGCGTTTCAAAACAAACGAGTGAGATATCATCAAGAGCTAATAGTATCTTTCACTATTATCATTAGGAGCTCATAATAGAGGTATTATTATCCTACTATCGCACTCTGCGTCATCACTCCTGACAGCCCAGTAAGACGCTAAAAATAATTGTTTAACGAAGTATTTCAAGATTAATTTATTTCTGGAACGACTTTTGACCAACGATGGCCCCCTGCCTCCTGCTACTAGCAGAATCCATTAGGCAGCAAAATAACTCAAGGCTACTGATTTTCCTTCACAGTGAGGGACGACTACGACACAGCTGCGTGCGTATCTGTGTTTTCCTCTAATCGAACCCACACCCTACTTCACGGAGTGTTTATACTTCCTTTTGTAAACCCCATACCCTGCCACACTCCAAGTCCCTACCCTTCTCTTATCTCTCATCAGCTTGCTTATCTTGTCGCACTGTCTACCGTTTCTTCTTCCCTGTCAACCCATACCCTGCCACACTGCCTACCCCTTTCTTCTCTTTTACTAACCGTTTATCCTGCCACAATACCTACCACCTTTCTCTTGCAACACCATACCCTGCCATATTGCCTATACCGCCTTTTTCTTCCCTGTCAACCTTATAGCCTGCAACACTGCCTACTCCCTTTCTTTTCCCTTGTAAACCACATACCCCGCCACACCATCTACCCTTTTATTCTCTGTTATCAACCCTCATCCTGCCCTTTCTTTTCCCTTGTCAACCCTCTACCCTGACACACTTCCTACACCTTTCTTCTCCATTACCGTCCCTCCTACCCTGACGCACTGCCTACCTTTTTCTTGTCTCGCATCGAGCCTTTGCCGCGCACCATGATCTTGCAGCCCGTGTCCTGCTCGAGCTGCTTCGCCGTCATGCCGCGCGGACCCAGAATCCTGCCCACGAAGTTGAACTGCAAACAAGCAGCAGTGCGAGGGCGAACATAAACAACGTGCCAGCAACCAGATACGCCGCCGAGCGGCTTACGAATCGACAACGTTTACGTTTACACTTCTAACTCGCAACAATTCCTTTAAACAAACCAAAGCTACCGGCGAAGGTATCAACACGCGTGTCTGTTGAATAGTAAACGTTTCCCCCACAAATGCAAAGCTTACATGTAATTATTTTACAACGAGATTTGAATCCCAAATAAATAAAGTAAATAAAATCAAGTCGAACACAATTGATCACCTGTCAGATTAAAACTCGTTACTTGATGACATTTTCATATAAAAACCACACAAAACTCCTAAATCATTAGGAAATAGCCAAATACGCAAGGAAAAGGAAAGGTTGCAATTCAGCCTTATACTGTACACGCAAAAATAACGTATATTCACCTACAATTGGTAATTGTAGTAAATAAATTGTGTGGCTTTTGTACAACACAATAATTGTCATTTGGATCATTACAACACAACACAACACAGCAGAACTTACATTACATATAAACCTTCTGTTAGGAAAAGCAAACAAAAAAGATCCGTGTCAACGGGTGTTTCTATACACCTCTCCAAAGCTATTATTTCCAAACAATCACAGATTTTGTCAAGTAGTGCTATTAGTTTATAGTGGATTTTGTAGTAGATCACGAACGCTTTACGAGCATAACTGAGCCTTATGAAAAGCACTGTTGTTGTCTGCAAAGATGAAATAGATAGCGTTTATATAACAGCCACCTGATTATAACCCATACATTCAGCCCATACACGCACTCACACATGCCTGAGTGAATCACCAAAAGAATATCAATTATCGATCATTACCACGCTCTCTCACACGCACGCACATACGCACGTACGCACACATACATGTAGTGTACCACATGCATATAAATATGAGTTTGGTAATAAGAGCGCATGCTTCCTGAGTTTACATGTAACTCATGGCGCCCTGGGCTTACCTGTAACTTACGGCCATACAGTGTGCCACACCACACTCTATTCCTGAGGCAGCATAGAAACGCATAGAACAGCAATCAATAACTGTCCAATAAACCCCACAATCCCCCCTTGAATCGTCGATCTTGTTTCGAACGCGGCTGAACCAAATACGGAACAGCCAAGCGATATTTAAATGAATTTATTGCGCCACAGACGGGCAGGGGCCGTTGATGGTGTGGATGGGGGACACAACGGAAAGACGGAGCACAAAACACGTTGGTGAGCTGATGCGGCGAGAGAAGGGCACATATGGGAGAAATGACATAACGAGAGGGGACACATGGAGCTATTTACCATGTGGACGGAAGGGAGACACATGGATAAACTACGTGGGAAGGTAGACACATGGGAAATGTAGAGACGGCGACAATATTGAAGGGGTCATATAGTATGACGAGACACACGCAAGAGAACAGATGGTGTGAGATGTAAGTCTCGGATTAGGCAACTTATTACAGCGGAGGACACCTATATCTGGAGCAATGTGTGAGAAACATTAGGGGAAGCGGAATAGGAATCTACTGGGTACGCTAACTGGTCAGGCTTCGGGAAGGACCAGCGGGAATATACGCGGCGTGGATGCCAGGAACCACACAGAAAGTCTGTGGCTTCAAAAACAAACAGTGCAGAAACATGTATGCGATATCGGTAGCTGTTCACATATACGTGGGCGCATAGATAAGTAAACAACCACACCCGAGTGCTGCGAATGCACGTCTTAGCAAAGGTTATGGTGATGCAACTTTCTGGCTATAATATATATATATATATATATATATATATACCTACAATTTATAAAACAATACTTTGATGCTACAATTTATTGCAGAAACCTCCAAGTTCCCTTCCAGCATGTATACACCCATACGCACGCATGCGCACGCGTACAATCCAACACTCGTACGCACATCGAGCACATACGCTCAACGAACACACACGCACGCTCAACGAACACACACGCACGCATGCACGCACATACTGCAGGCTTACATCAGGAAATTCCTTGACAGGCACGTAGACCTTCTCGGAGGCTGTGACCACCGGTCCCGTGGCCTCGGGTAGATTAAGCGGCTCATCCTTCACTCCGTTCAAGTGGAAGAGACTCAGTCTAACCTTGTTTATCTCTGCAACACAACACGGCCATGATTATAGGCTACTACTACCCAGAACGATTCTTCTCCGCAGAACGGTCAACATAGATGTTACCAAGATGTTACTCTAACCATGCAGCCCCTTTCTCTGGGTGATGGGATGCTGAACCAATGGCTGCACAGGTGGAGCTAATGATGAAGAAACTTTTATAAACCGCGATATCGCAAACAACTGATCGCATCTCCATGCGCGGCGGCGCGTGACTACGCAAATAATAGATGGTATAATTATTGGCTGTTTTCATACGTTCCAAGATTACGACAGCGTTTATAAGCTGCGACATTTCATACAAATTACGCGCTGCTCAGGCACATTTCATACAAATTACGCGCTGCTCAGGCATCGTGGTTTTAATACAGCCTCGTGGGTACAGTACGGCAGAAATAATACATAATTCTTTGCTGAGTGAGTGAGTGAAAACATATTATATTGGTAGGAATCAGGAATGGCACGCGCCTCGGCTATATACTCTCCACGAACCAGGAATTACTCGAGCTAGTGTGTCAGTATGTGTTGGCCCTTTAATCCCCCCACCACCACCCTTGGGAAGAAGAGGACTGTTGCCCTGCTGGTGTAGTAGATGGGTTTGATCAGCATGTGCTGAGCCTGCTTGATAACCAACACACCCACTTCGCACGCGACCAGCCTGTCTGCCACTCACATTGCAACTTCAAACAAGAAACCGAGGCGTCGGCATGCATTGCACCGCAGTGAACCAATCCCCGTAGCATACGTGCCCTTTTCGTATCAACTGACTCGACCCGCGAGCATCGTTTTATTCGAATACGTTCGCAACTTCGCACCACATGAACTTGGACCGTTTCAATCATAAAATTATTGTAGATTAACATAAATTGTACTTACTACCAAAGTGTTTAGCTATCCTCTATCGACTAATGATTCTACGTAAATGCTGTTCAAATGCTCCCCTGTACTACACAGTCTCACAGCACGCAAGCCACTGGGCACAAATTCTCAGAAAGATAGAGCGACAAGAAAGACAAATAGTTTTTATTTACTCTCATTTTATTATTGAAACCGTCCCAGCGCCTGTAGTCCACACGTTCCATGCGCGGGTCTGGACGGGTAGGAACTACATTTGGACTCCATGAAGACACACACACACACACACGCTCTCTCTCTCTCTCTTCATGGACTCATGAACATATAACAGGACACCTAGCATTGGTCAACACTACCAGGCTATAACCTACGATGCTTGTATATGGGGGAACTCTAGGCTAACCTAGGGTCCAGGCTAACCTAGTCTACATGCTCTCAGAGCCTGCAGCAGAGATCTGCAGCTCATTAGTCACTTGTCGTCTGTTTCTCGCGCCGCGGTGAGAGGAATGCAGCGGGCGTCTGGTGTGTTTTTCATTTAGCCGCAGGCTCCCAAGGCGGCTATCAGTATCAGCTATCGTATTTCGAGCCAAACACGGGTACAGTAACACCGGCACACATGCGTGCTGGCTACGGTCACTTTACCTGTTAGCTCTAGGACTATAGCCCGCGTACAGTTGCCGCAACTGTACGCGGGCTATAGTCCTAGAGCTACTCTAGCCTGTGGCTGAACGAAGGGCTATAGTTCTAGAGCTATTACCTGTTAACCCAAACTTGTACTTTCAAAATGTAAACCATAATTCTGAAAATGTGACCAACATTTTCGCCCTACCCTTCAAACATCGCGACTGCCTGACGCTCTAAAGTGTTGACTAAATATATTTGCACTACATTTGGTAATTGCAAGAACCTATAGATTAATGGGAATTAGTATTATAAAAATATTTGATTAAATGGCCCATCTTTGTTATTATACATCATAACCTTACACATATATTGATAAATTTTTTTATTATACATAGATGCATTATATTACCCCTACGAATATTTTGAACGTTTGTTATCTGACTAGCCTGGTGTTTATTTGCACGTGTCTTGCAGAATACAGTCGAAACATCGATCACTATAAATGTAATAGAATGTCTAACAGTCACCTATTTCAGTCCTACACCGAACACGTATTTGACATTTGTTCACAAACAGTAAATTAGGAATAGGAGATTTCTATTCAAACGCCCTATACTGTATAATCCCGAAAGCTACCAAGTACACTGTACACGCATTCCACGTACTTCCACGCAATACCCTTCCCTTGTCAGTAAGCAACGAGAATCACCGCCGAGTTTATGGAACTCGAATCCTTCGCCGCGGACCGTAACACTTCACAGACGCGCGTAAAAACTGGTTCCAATTACCAGTGCCAGCGTCCCATTACAAAACACAGCCGCCAATACTCATCCCAGAGGCTGCGGGATGCGATGGGGTAGGCTGATGTGATGGGTTAGCCCGCTGTTACTACGGTATTGATGGTCTCGTGCCCCTGACACACACTGCGAGTCAGCAATAACATACTACACAGAGATGAGTGGATCGTCGCAAAAGTGTGAAAACCTCTACGCGGTACAAAACGCCACAAGCGTCCGACCGCAGAAAAACCGAACAGCGACGATGCCCTCCTCCCCATCCGTCACCTCCGGCGCCTACACTTTCTCCTCCTCCTCCTCCTCCTCCTCCTCCTCCTCTTCCTCCTCCTCTTCTTCTTCTTCTTCTTCTTCTTCTTCTTCCTACTCCTCCTTTTCTTCCATCACAGCCTTTTCATCATCCTCCTCCTCCTCCGACATTTTGCCCTCGTCCTTCTCCTTTCCCTCCTCCCCCTCCTCCACCTCCTCCACCTCTTCCTCCTCGTCCTCCTCCTCCGCCACCATCACCTCCTCCAACAACACCTCTTCTGACACCAACGAAGTACGATGGCGGCAACATGCGGCGCTTCGCCGTGTTTATAAACATAGCGTGAGAATTAACGCAGCAGCATTACGGCAGCCAAAAGTCTCCCGTAAACATTGCGCCGCGCCGCTCATTTATAAAAGCAATCAGGTTATGCGCGACTCGACTCAACTGGCTTCATTAGCGAGGATTCCTTCTCGGTTTCACGCTTGTCTAAATACGGTGGCATGTACAGTGGTGGCAAGAGGTCGCCGGTAAATAGACATGCAAATTACTGACATTGGCCGTGCATATCAAGATAACTCGCATACCTCATCTCTTCTGGTTATATACACTCGCCAAAAATTTATTTAGATTCTTATACTAATAACTAAGTTTCATTGGCCGTCATAATACTACGTCAGACTGCCCCCCACCTAATTACAAATTAAGCATTCTACTAAAACAATATGGTTCTTTGTGAAAAACAGTCAAATTTCTGTAAATACAAAATGTCCTCGTGATTTTATCCCCTGACAAATCAAGGGAAATGAGAAAGTTAATCTGATTTTACTAAAGATATATATATATATATATATACATATATATATATATATATAATCGACACGGATCGTCTAAATATAGTGTGATCGATGGGTGCAAAGATAATTATTAGGAAATCCGCGCCACGACAGTGTTTGTATACACGTGTAAACAGCGCCAGTCTTTCAGCGCATGTCGTAATTTTACACCCGGCAGGGGCTAGCTCCGCGTGCTCTCTCATATAGGAAGCACTATTATAGTTCGAGGTGATGATGTCATGCAGCGCGCAGACGACGGAGAGGCTGGGCAGCGGTGTGACGCTGCCGCCGCTATATATACAGACAGGCGCGCGAACATGTGATGACCAGATGATAGCAGGTCTCGTTCATGCGCGCATGTCAACCAGCCTCCACGCACGAATGTTGTCGGATGGTTTTTCTTAGACAAAGCTTACGACGGAGAGTGCTTTTGATCGCCAGGCTTGTTATCAAGTTTACCCTAGGCAAATTAAGAAGCTCGCTGGGAAATGTGGGGAATGCACTCTAAGCAATCTCTCTCTTTGTGGAATAATGTAATAGAAACAGGCCATTACATGGGAAGCAACAAAGCTTTATATAGCAGAATTTCGCAGCGTGGTTCGCCGTGATATGTCGGCAGACTTGAGTGGGGTGTTGTGCCACATGTTATGGATGATCAAAGCTCTGGGAAATACTACATGTCTGATATCAAGAGTGCATAATAGAGATCTCTATTATGCACTCTTGCTGATATGTAGTCTTCTCACCCTACCACATTGCACAAATTTCATTCAATTTCAAATTTTCGGCTGTTCAACATTTTTGGTAGAAGCCTCTTTACTGTACTGGCCAATTTCCGCTATCACGCAGAGAAATTTAAATTCAAGCCTATAATATACTAGATATGGCTGACAAAGTAAACCGCAATGTATGGTTAATAATGAATTTCAGTTGTGAAATACTGCATAAAACTGTGTTATTATTCATCTTGCTGTTGGATAATAAACTCAATCAACTAATACACTAGCTTGCTTCCCGTTTCAGATGAAATTTCCCAAGAAATACAGTAGCCAACAATCGGTTCTCATTAAATTCGTTAGCAGCCTTCTTGGTTTCAGTCCGTATCAAAGTTCAAAATAATGGCAGCTATTCCGTTAGCAAACAAACAGTTCGATTTACACACGGATTAGTATAAATGACAACTAATCCGGTAGACTACCGCGTACTGTCCGTTTTTGACAAAGATAAATTATTATTAATGATTATATATCAGTCCTGCAAACTCAGTAATAACCTTACTTTGGTTCAGCTAAACCCTGACGACTGTTAGATAAACATAAAACTGGTTACTCGTTATCAAGCATGCTGATCTAGAAAATAACATGAATGCAGTCACTGAGCCACGGGCACTGAATAACAAAATATAGTAAGAATACAATAGATAGTACAAACACATATTAACTAAATAGTAACACATTGTACTAACATATATAATACATAGTTATAATACATTGTAACTAAAATATAAATGATGTTTATATGAATGTTAACATGTTGCAAGTGTTTTTATTTTGAGGTTTAGTGTCAATTTGAACTCGGTTTTAGAAACAAGTGACTTATGTCACACTGTACGAACGAATATAATATGT